TGACCCGCTTAACTCTGGAGCCAGAGGTAGGGACTTGGACTGGATATAGATATGACCCATCCCACCTAATTGAAAATTTTTTCAGTTTGTGCACCCCGTCATTCCCTGCAATGTGGACTCTATTACGTGAATACGTGTTGGACTCTAGCATATGTACGAGACTAGCACATTTGCTGATAGTTGACTTAACTTGTCACAGAATTGATTTGACTTAGCTTGACTGTAACTGCATTAAAAGCTCACTGAGCCAAAACCTTGAAAGGATTTGACTGGAAATTTACCACATGTTATGTTGATTTGACATAGTGCTTAGCGGATTTGACATCGTTTGAGATTGACTAGCGTTGATTTAAACCTGGCATTCAGTTTGCTTACATAGGTTCAAAATGATGTAGATATTAATCGACTATGCTTTGACTTGACGTAATGAAACGTTAGTTCAACCTGACTGTGAGGCACATTAGCATGCGATTCAGGGGAGTGTTTAGCTATATGGGCAACTTTACGCAGTAACCTAGTGGCTGAGAAACAAGCCTTCGAAGCTCATCGCTTCTTAGAAGTAGAGGTATCACATGAAAGGATATTCAGTTTGTAGCTGGAGGAGCTATGACTGGTGTTGATAATAGCTGCACTGGCATATGATAACAATAAAACTATCCCTCTAAAAATGAATTTCACTAACGTAGGGTATGAATCACATTATGGAGTTAGCGGTAGGTCTGGAAAGTTCGCCTGGGCCACTCATCCTGTAGAGTCGNTCGAAGACCTTCTCCCTCGTAGTGTTATTTAGTGACAGTTAGACTGATGTTGCGATGATAGATTGCATGTAGTTAATCGTCATATTAAAAATGCACATTTCGTTCGCATGGGTGTTCCCAACCTGTCGAGCTGCCAAAAAGCGCGGATAGGTTTGAGTAAATGCGATAGGCGTTCCCCGCCTACCGGCAGTCTAGGCGAATCGGGGNGGGAAGAATTGTCATCGGGTTGACCATTGGCTGCACACATGAAATCATTTCACTCAGTTTGAATGTTGCTAAATGCATTATAGGGGGAAATCTCTCAAGTGTTTGTGGTTACTCGCCGAAGCTTATTTATTAGATAGTGTCATGATGGCATTCATACAATTATATGATGATATCCTTATGTCCCTTGCCAGTGTAGTTATCATTCCCCACTAGTGCTAGTAAGTTCAAACAATCCACTCGAATGGAATGAGAAGCACTATAGCCTCTTCATTTGGGGAAAGGTTTTCAATAAAACACCAACTTTCGAAGTTTGTCTTTAATAGTTGACCACTTTCCAGAGCTTGAATCTCAGTCTAAAGTTATCGCGTTAAAATTAACGTATTAGTTAGTTTACGGGAGAGCTAACCTCAGGTGTTGATAATGGCTGTATTNTAGCGGTAGGTCTGGAAAGTTCGCCTGGACCACTCATCCTGTAGAGTCGAGTTGCTGACTGGTGACTCGAAAAATTTCTTCCTCGTAGTGCTGTTTAATAACAGCTGGAATAAAGCTGTTGTGATATCACTTGTGTAGCCAATGGTCATACGCATATTTTGGTTGCGTAGGCGATCCCAACCCCTCGGGCTGCCAATAAACGGAATTCTAGGTTTCGGTGATTGAGACAGGCATTCCCGCGCCTACCGGCAGTCTAGGCGAATCGGGGAGAAATATTATGCTGATGGTACTTGCTCGGGCATCATTAGCATTCACTTTACAGAATCCAATATAGGAGTGTTCCCGGTCGAGGAAAGGCGCCAATTTGACCGGGGATAGGGCTTGCGCGTAAGTCGGCCTGAGTAGTGTCTTCGGGCATTTGCTTAGGTAACGAGGGTTCCCGGACTCACCGTGCGCACTGTCCCTTAACAGGGGGAATTATGATC